TGTGGCAGAGGAGAAAAGGTGCGCCTATCTGACATCAGTATGGAGGGGAGCGATGGCTACTGGTTCAGAGCCTGGAAGGAGAAACCCAAGAATCGTTCTTGGGAAGGTCTAAAGGGGGCAGTGGTGGTGCGATTTGGAGAATGGAACGGGGGTACCATCTTTGAAAAGGGTGGCGGCCAGTTAAGCAGTGGGAACCGCGAAGAATACTCCTAGCATCGAACGTGAACGTCGTACAGTCAAAACGGTCTACCAGTCATTGGCAGAGCAATCCGAGGCATAGAGACAGTCGTCTTGGGACGAACAAGTGGTGAGGTGACACGGTCGGAGGCCGCGGCCAATCACCCAGGCCGATCGGGAGCCGCCAAGAGTGTGGGGTCAGTTTCGAATAGGCACGGTCTGCCAGGGAACCGAACGGTATTAGTCATTAAAGAACGAACGGTTGAATGCAGGGGAGGAGCCGAACGGCATAAAGATATGGAGAAGAGAACTGCACGGTAGAGGACTATTGGATCCGAACGTGAGAAGACCGGAACCGAACGTGAGGGAACTGCTGGAACCGAACGGTTTGCCAGGGAACCGAACGATATTGGTCAATAAAGAACGAACGATTGCATGCAGGGGAGGAGCCGAACGGCATAAAGATATGGAGAAGAGAACCCGCACTGTAGAGACTGTGGATTGGATCTGAACGTGAGAAGAAAACCGAACGGTCTTATAGCTACAGTAAAAGGCCGAACGGTTTTACACTCAAAACGGTCTCCTAGTCATTGGCCGAACGGTCTTACAATTAGATTCAAAGGCCGAACGGTCTTACAGTCCAAACAACCTCTCAGTAATTGGCCGAACAGCCTTACCATTAGAATGAAGGATGAGGAGGGAAAGGTGGATGGAAGAATCAATGCCCGGGAGAGAAGGACAGACTCGGTGAAGAGGTGGACCAGTGAACAAAAGAAGGGTCTTGCCGTTCGTGAGGCACCTGCAGAGGGGAGAGAACTTTTTGAAGCTTTGAAAGACATCGAAGACCATTTCCTCACGGCTTATAATTCTGGAAATGAGGTGACTAGAATGCTGAAAGCTAATAAAATCCAAGAAGGATGGACGTTATTGGAGGAAGAATTGCCACCACCCAAACCTCCAGACCTGAATTGGAGGGCAGTTGCCAAAGGATTCCATTCATATGAGTACACGATGATGAAGCGGATCAAGGAGATCAAATCTCACGTTTCCAACCTTGAGGACAAGGTTGATCTTCAAGGGGAGTAATGTTAGGACTTAGAGAGTATAGGAAAGGAGAAAAGGGAAACAGAACACTTAACTGTTAATCAGTTAAGTGAGGGGGCGGGAAAAGGCCTATATATTAGGACCCTTTATTGTTTCAGTTAGCCAGTTGTGTAGTTTGTATGTGTTGACCGGTCTTAGCACCAGGTGAAGGAGGTTAAGCTCCTAAGATACTGTGTATTCTTGATTCATTGTTGTGAATACCATTCATACTATTTCTTCTTTACAAGTTCTTGATTGTTGTGTTTGAGATAGAGAGAGAGCTTGTTAGGAATTCCTTCCCGAATCCCTAACAACCATCCTCCCAATTGATTCTTAAATTTTATAAAGTGCACCATTCCACACTTTCAAAGCCTCTTGAACAATCAAGTATATGAACACAACAACAAATACGAAAAGGTCAACATTACACACAAATTATTTTGCAAACGAAGGTGAAATTTAAGAATATCTTCGTATGATATTAGCATAAGCTTTATCCAAAAATGATGAAACAATTTCTTATCAGTTCCCCAATATTTGAAGCAATCAAATAAGGGAACTTCTATCTCACTAAGATCTCATGTGGGGGACACTTTATCAAACAAAATTAATAAGTACAACTTAAGCAAGCTTTGCCTAAAATTCCTAATGGTGTGTTTGACTTCTGATAATTGACTATTTTTGTTATACGATCTCTCCACACTAAATAATAATCAGATTCAGAGTGTGCGCACATTAAAGTGCAAAGGATGCAAATGTGGCAAAACTGGATTCAAGGATCAGACATGTAGGCGGGTTTAGGGACTGGAAAACTAGACAAATATAACGATTACAAAATTGCAGATAGATCCATTAGATCAATGATATAAAGAAAAAAGATAACTTAAGTCAAACATAAACAAGATAAGGATTGACAATGCAGGTACCACTCTGATACCAACTTGAGAAATTAAAGAAAAAGAGAAAGGGTATTTTGAGAGTTGAAAAGTTTTTCCTTAGGTAGTCATATTTATAGAGTAAATTTGTGATACAACTGTGATAAATGAAAGAGTTAAAAACAAGTAATGTAGGTACTACCCAAGCAGCTTTTGAATAAAGCTTACTTAGCCTACTATGAACCTATCATTTTTCTACTCGGTTTATTTTTTAAATATATGTTTGGGTTTAACACATTTTCCGTTGTTGATGTTGTCTCCCACCGAAGAACCCACAAAAGAAAGCAGAAAAGCCCAAACAGTTAAAAAAGAAAAAAACAGGTTTCAACCTTTCAAACTGTGATGGAGTTCATGCCATTGCCAGGTATTGTCAGAGTGCCCACCATAAGGAGACTGTCAAAAGCTGCTATGGGTTTGGCCGTCAAGTGAGTTAAGTGATTGTCTGCCATATGGGGCTTGGGAAACAAAGTCTCCCACAAATGAGGAATGACACAAAATGTTGATTACGGGGCTCAGGTTTACTCATGTATTCGCTTAGTATTAGTAAGTTAGCAGAAAAACTAAAATATAAATATTAATAATAGAGCAAGTGTAGTCATGCATACAAAAATGTGAATCTGACTTTTCACTGATTAAGATCGAATTTGATTGGTTCTGTTCCGCAGGGCCTGATCTAACAGAAAAATTTTAAACAATTTAACTGGTTGGGTTTGGATTCTTGGGTCCATCAAGTTGGTCCGAATCAATCAATGCTAACAATGACCCACCACATATCTTAAACATGTTTTAGAGGTTTCAGGCACTAAGGTTAAGAAAATGTACCACCTAATCTATTAGGGATGGAAATGGGAATGTTAAGGGTTGTAATTTCCATCTTTTTATGTGTCATTTCATTAGTCCACAAGCTGCACTCTGGCCATAATGTACAAATTCAGCTATATTTCATTAGTCAATTTTAGTTGGTTGGTATTTTTATAACATTCTACAGTTGAAGTGAAGAAAGCAAAAATGACCAGTAGGCAGCAGTGTTCGTAGGGAATAAATATAGAGGACAAAATTTAACTGAGCATGAGATCAAGACATGAAATTCTAAATGCTAATTACCTCCTCCACTCCAGAACCTAGTTTCAAATTCCCCAAATCATAATATTTCTCAAGCTTACTGTGACCTCTGGGAACATTAGGAGGACGAAGGACATTGTAGAAGAAAATGGAAACTGAATCATAAAATAATTGTGGCCGAGAGGAGTTGTGATCACCATCAAATTTTATGACATTTTTATCACCCTACAGAATCAGAAACGAAGTTATATGTTTTGACTGCAAATTAAGAAAAAGTGCAAATTGCTTTCAAAATATTTTGTTCTCAAAGATTTGGAATAATTCAATACCGCATAGGATTCAGAGATGAGATCAGAATGGTGGGGCTGAATGAATTTGTCATCACTTGCATGTCCAAATAAAACAGGAATGAATGTCTTTGGTGCAACCTGTGGATTTAAAACACATTAACTCAGACAAGGAAAGGAAATAACTCTACTTAAAAATTTGTTTAGCCAGAAAATAAAAACTGTAATGCCCAAATTTCATGGTAAAAATAAGAAAACATGACTAGTGTTTAAAATGTAGGATAATGGGACACCACACACATATACAAGCCTTGCAAGAAGACTCATCAAATATTTTTATATTACATTTTAAGCTATATTTGTTTCTAAAAGTTAGATAAAAAATTGAAAACTTTTATTATAGTACTAGTGACCTTGCAAGTGTCCATGCATACCAAAGTGTCTGCTCAAGTATCTAACTGAGTTGATAAAAAGTTAGATTTTTAATTGAAGCTAGTGAAGACTAGATTGCCTAACACATGTCATAAGGATATAAGGGAGGTGCCGATGTGGGAGATGTGTAAAATACCAAACACCTCAAACAAGGAGTGTCAATGCATCCTTGTCATGGTTAATGGAGTTTGCAAAATTACATTAATAATTTTAATAATTAAAAAATGTAGAACGGCTCTAAATATGCCTTGCCATTCTTCTGAAAAACAAAACAGAACTGCACAACTAATACATACCAGCAAACAATTCAAGTTCATGATATCAAACTTTGCCTTCTTCTCAATAACCCGCCGCATGTACTGCACAGCCATTTTAACCTAATTGAGGCAAATCCAGCAGAATATCAGACGAAATAAACATAGTTCACTGCTATAGGCTTTACATCCATGTTGCTTGAATGTTTCTGAGAAGAAAAGCAACTGGCAAGAAAGTAAATCAAGCAAACTAAACATTATCCCCTTAAAAAAGTTGCATGTAGAGCAACCATTCCAGTCATGCATGTAGAGTGATATGCATCTTTAGGGCATGATATCAAAGGTCTTTAAAATTATTTGTAGCATAGTAAAATGGGGTAATATGTTAGTGGTGGAATGATAGCTTAACTAGAATTGACTCTGAATGACTTAGATACCATATTAAGAAAGTGGAACTTAACTCCAACTCAACCTACAAAACTAGCTTGGCAAGGTGATATTTGCTTCCACCTATATTATAATTTGACCATATTTTTAGTCAATGTGGGATCTCCAACAATATCTATGTTAACAAAAAAAAAGGGGGAAATTTTAATCTAAGGTACAGCATCGAAAGTCACCTTGCATGTTGGTTAAGAAGGTCAATCAAATCAATTTATAAATTAGAAGAGCCTGTTCAAAATTCTATCAATTTCTTCAGCCATCTAAATGAAATTTGAGGTATATAGAACCAATAAATGAGTGGAAAAGGATGTAAAAGAAAAGCAGCAGAACAATTTTTTTAGTACAAATGAACAGCATATTTAGATTTTAGATGCAGTTGTAATAATGCAACATCTTTAAGGACTTTTTCAATAACTTTCACTAGCAATAGACCACCCATTTTACTACATCCACTACAAATAGTTTTAAAAGACCTCTAACAGATATCATGCCCTAAAGATTCATATCACTACATGCGTGACTTTTTGGATGGGACCAGATAGAGTCCCTTTTTTCTCTATTGATTGAACATTTACTACAAAGGGAGTTGGCAAATATATATATATATATATATATATATATATATATATATATATATATAGAGAGAGAGAGAGAGAGAGAGAGAGAGAGAGAGATTACAGTGAATTTAGGAAGCCGAATTTTATAAACATCCACAAGCTCCATCATAAGATTATATAAATTTGAAAAGGCACTATCCAACACCATTCCAGCAATAGAAGGATCTTCAGCTCCATAAAGAAGACTGCATCACACCAAAGCAAAAGTGAACGGTTAATGAAAGTAGATATATGTGCATAATGGTAGCTCATAATGACATTAATAGAGTAAGGTTGGGAATGTGATATACTACAAAACCCACTAACTTGGCCATCAAAATTATGAAAAATATGCATTCCAAAAGGGGGGTCAGCTATTTTTCTCTTTTTTGTCCCAATTTCTCAAAGGGTGGCGGTTCTTGCAAACAAGTGTCCTACAAACACTGACTAAGAATTAATGAATAAAAACTTGTATTGGTAATCACGATGAAGGTACATTGATAATATTCCCACAAAAAATTCAGTTTTTATTTCTTCACCAGTGTCCTAAAGACATTTGTTAGCATTCTCCTTACATGGATAATTAAAAGAATGACTTTCCATAGGAAGGCCTAAACAGTTTTGTTCACACACAAACAGATATACAAGGAAGAAGTATAACTTAGGTCATCAAATTATAGTAGAACAAACATTAAAATCATCCACCTAAGACCTTTTTTTGTACGGATACACATAGAAACTATAAAGTACTAATGGAGCAGAAATACTTGTAAAAATCAACATCAAGCAAGTTAGTTGGGAGATTTAATACCTAGTAACTGCACCCATTGATCGTCCCCAAAGACCTATACGAGATATTTGTTTGTTGCTTCTCAAATATGACACCACCATCTTGAGATCATCTTTCTACCACACAAAGGAATGGACACATATTAATGGTTTCATAAAAGATGGGATAGGCAAAAACTTAAGTTAATAGACAGAAATTAATAAAGCAATAAAAACATGCATATAGAGATAACTTACTTCGTGCCAGCCTAGACTGACATATTCTCCATCTGATAAGCCTGAACCCGAGAAGTCAAGGGTAAAAACAGTAATATTTGAAGGAAGAAGAATTACAGCAGCTTCATTGGCATCTGCCCTACATCCACTGCATAATTGTACATGTGCACACATATATCACAAGGGAGAATAATAGAATAGCTAAAAAAATTAATTTACAATTTTTTCAAACCGTCAAGACGAGCCATTTAAATAACAGACACCTGTTTCCATGGCAATATATAACACAAGGAAGAGAAGTATCTTCTGGGAAAGGAGATGGGAGATAGTGGCTACACTTCAAGGTATAGCCTCTGGCATTCTTGAGCTGCAGAATTGGAAAACAGATAATCTATCAGTAAGCAAATAATTGGAATCATGATTTAACTAAATACAGATATGATAATTACAAAAAACCATCAAATTAATAATGTCCATACTTGCCTCCAAATCCTGCCTTTGGTATGTTCGACTTGCAAGGGTGAATTCTTTTTCCCACAGGTACTGGTCAGGATTATACTCCGCCCTGACAAAGTAGATACAGTTGTAACTAAATTTGCTGGAAAAAATAATCACAGGTTTGAAAACTTTCAAAGCATCTCAACAGAGAAGTATGTTTCTAACTGGATTGGGTTAAACAGACATTCGAATACTTACAACTTTTAACCAATAAACAAAAGTACCCTAACTGAAATTTAAAATCAAATTAAAAAAACTACTTGTTCGAGCATGGCTTATCAAGGAAAGAACCAACATATTAAAAAGGTAAAGACGATTTTGATGCATATAAAGTACTTTCCCCCTAAATTCTCAACAACTAAGATGACATGGCCATGAAAATTTAATACGATTCTATATTAGTTAAAACAGGTGTGGAGATCAAAGGCAAGAGATAAACATGAAAACAAAAACAAAAAGGTACAGGACACACGTAATTACTAGGGTGGGGAACAAAATAGGAATCCTCTTGTGAAAAGAAAGTGCCCTAATGAATATGGCACAGTTAACATTCTCTTTCATATAGGCATCATACAGTACCTGCTTACTTGAATAGTGCCATGCCACCAACCAGAGAAGCAAAAATTAATACCTGGGAGGCCGAATAACGAAATTGATGAATTGCTCAATCATCTTGTTCCTACATGTAGCTCACTGCAACTCCACCTCATCACCTTACAAGTTGACCTCGCTAAGAAGCTCAAAGGCAATTGGCCACACCATCTTCGCAACTCAAAGATCTCAAATCTCACAAATAATTTTTACTCATCAATGTTAATGCCAGACATACAAGCTAAGCTGCCAGTGCTCAATTCCTGAGAGAAACGACGCCAACTTAGATGGTACTTGCATTTAAATACCAAAAGAAAAGAAGAAGCAAGAAACCCAGTGACAGCAGTGGAAAAAAAAATTCAAAAATTTACACAGAAGCAGGTCCCAACTAATCATATGAATTGAAGAGAGAGAGAGAGAGAGAGAGAGAGAAAGTGAAAGAAAGAAAAGAATCTTCAGGCTCAAAAGGCTCTACCAGATCCAAATGCCCTCCTGAAAAGTAATGCATATCCTAAACCCAGAAAAAGGCACGGTAACCAAAAATTTTCATTCACACCCCTCCCCAGAAAGAAAAAGAAAATAAAAGTTTAGATTAAACTCCTTGTAGGTGTACCATGATTGCAAGGAAAAAACTTTATTTATCCAATGTCAAAAAAAATTCAAACTTGGATGACTGGGTACACGTCAACTCAACAGAAGGGTCCCAAATGCAAAACAAGAAAAAAGTGTTTAAAATGGTAAAAGTTCGTAAAGCAGAAATGTGGGGTAAGATAACAGCACGAATTCCAAGTCAAACGAGATCCCACATCCAAATTACCACATTGAAGCCTATGAACGCAGTTCCCATCTCACTTTCTCAACAAAAGAAACGGAGAAGCTGCAAAGAATGGAGGAAAAGCAAACAACTTTATCGGAATAAAAAAGTGGGAAATAGTTAGAACTTACCACCCAAAAGCAAATGCTTGTCTGAAGAAGAAAAAGAAGAGATGAAATAATGAAAAAGGTGGATTGAAAAAGAAGTTGGTTCTTGTTGTTGGTTTTGCTCTTCTGGCTTGTGAGAAGGAGAATTGAATTTGAATGAAAGATGGAAAGTGAAGGAAGATGAGAGATGAATGTAAGAAATAAGAGAATGGCAGTAATAGCCAGCTGTCTCTCTTTCTGTTGAGTAGTGGTTTTTGTTCGTCTAAACGTACCTCTTTATTTTCTTATTTAATTGCTTAAATATTTAAAATTCTCCTTTTTCTTCTTCTTTATATCTCTTACCCCTTAGTGTTTATACAAAGCTCAAATTATAAATAATTTTATAATTTAGTGTACTTTATTTAATGATGTAGCTTTTTCTTCACGTATTTAACGAATTAGTTCAAAATGAATATTTTTAAAATCTAAAGTATGATAAACAATTTAAAAATACATATAATGTTAGATTAAATTTTTAAGACTTTGCTTGTGAACACTTCAACTAACTATGTTGATATAGTTAATGTTTTAGCCATAAATAACTTAAATAAACTTTTTTTTCCAAATAAAAAATAAAAAATATCATTATGAGGTTTTTAGAATTTAAGTTTGCAGAATATAAAAGATTAAAAATAACATTGTCATGAGGTTAAATGTTATATAAAGTATAATATTCAATATGATACAGTTCATTCAATATAAGAATTAAACTAAAATCATTAAATATGTGTAAATATTAAATGATGTTTTAATGAAATCCATTAAATATAAGTATTAAACTGTAAAATCATTGAATATAAGGTATTTATTAAATATTTTCAATTGAATACTAATATAAAGAGTTGCTGACAACATTAATTGTGATGCATAAATAGTTTTAAAAAAAACCGCTAAATGTTTCAGTCATCTATTTAATGTGAATTATTTATTAAATGTATTAATTAAATGTATTAATACATATATGTACAAATATTGAAATGTTATTCCTAAAAATATAGTTAATGTATTAAATACGTAGCATTAAAGGATCTGAGATATTAATTATTATTCGTAAGAGGTTTTAATCACAAAAAACTTGGTTCAAAATAATACAATTCAATCGCATTCTAACCTGATACATATAAATTGTACACTTAAAATTAAGTACAAAATATTAATTTTTTTTTTCGTTTTCGTTTAATTCTTAACTTTTCCTGGTCTTATAAATTTCTCTGTATAAGTAAGAAATCAATTGTTTTGCAAAGTAAACGAGAAGTTGTTTTCACAATCACCCAATATTATTCAATTTTAAATTATTACATGTAATATATTATTCCAAATAAGATCATAAATATTTTTTTAATTTAAATATTAAAAATTTTCAAAACACCAAATGATAAGAAAAAATATTAGTTATATTTATTTTCAGTTACACTTACTGATTTCAAAAGTAATAAAAGGAAAAATAATTAGATTTTAAAATCTATTTTAATTTCTCATCATCCAGATAATTAAAATAACTGCAATCATGACAACCATTTTAATCAATTCAAAACATGGTGATGGAGATGCACTACAATAGTTAGGATTAGTTTCTATTGTGTACATTCCTTTATTTTTTTTATTTTTTTTTTGGCTTTGTTAGTGTGTATATGTATTTTTTTATATTTAGTAAAGGTTTTATGGATGTAATATAATAGTTGTTGTTTTGTGTGTGAGGTGGAAAATTATTGTTAAACACTCATTTATATTTTTCTAGCAGTCAGCTTATGTTATATTAAATATATTTATTCAGATTCTTCTATGTCCTGTATGTTTTAACTTCAAACCGTACGATGCGATTTAAAATTATATTTATAAATTTTAAGATAAATTTATAATTTTAATTAGGACTCAATATCTAATAAATAAAACTTAATAACAAATTTAATTAAAGGTTGTGCTTAAAATTATACAGAATTTAACACGCTTGATCTCTTTATTCTTTGATAATATGTTATTTGTCTGTACTGATATACGATATAGTTATATATTAGTCTTATGTGTTTGTGCATTATCATTTGTACAACTTTTATTTATACGATCTTGCACTGTTAAATAATATTTTACAACTGATAATATTGAATATGATGCATTGTTTTAAAAATACCACTAAATATTTTAAGTCGTTTATTTAATGCGAATTGTTTATTAAATATATTAATTAAAGGTATTAATACATATATATATATATATACAAATATTGAAATGTTATTCCTAAAAATATAGTTATAATATATTAAACAAGTAGCATTAAATTATTTGACATATTAATTATTATTCATAAGAGGTTTCAATCACAAAAAACGTATTTCAAATAATATAATTCAAGTGCATTCTAAACAGATACATATAAATTGTACACTTAAAATTAAATACAAAAATCTTAATTTTTCTTTTCCGTTTTCGTTTAATTCTTAACGTTTTCTCCTCTAAATTAATATGTATATGTAAGAAATCAATTGTTTTACAAAGTAACGTGAAGGTATTTTCTGGCCCAATATTATTAAATATTAATTTATTATATAAAATGTATTATTGTAAATAAGGTCATGTTAGATATTATTTGAAGTGAATATTGAAAATTTTTTATATTATATCCATAAATGAAAACATGTTACCTATAATTGTTAAAAAAAATTAGCATCAAATAATGAGAAACAATATTATTATTATTTTTTATATTTACTAATAATAGAAAGAAAAACAATTGGATATTGAAATATATTATGATTCGTCGTGATAATCAATTTCTTACGAGATACTTCTTAAATTAAACTAAATTCAAAAATGAAAACTGTAAATTCTTAAAAAGTTATTTCAACAATTTATACAACCGTATAATAATAAAACAACAAACAAGTAAAAGAGTTATTCAACATTATTTTCACATCAAAGAACAAGTAAAACATAAAATTACTTTTTTATTCCAATATCGCTCCTACTTTAGCTGGATCCACAGAGATACCTCTAGCCAAAACTACGTGCCCTAAAAATCGCATTTCTTTCATCCAAAATTCACACTTAGATAGCTTAGCATACAACTTCTTTTCTCTTAATACACTAAGCACTATCCTCAAGTGTTCTTCATGTTCTTCACGGTTCTTGAAGTAAATTAGGATATCATCAATGAAGACCACTACGAACTTGTCCAAATATGGTCTGAAGATGCGATTCATGTAATCCATGAATACCGCTGGTGCATTAGTGACACCGAATGGCATCACTACATACTCGTAGTGTCCGTAACGACACCGGAAGGCAGTCTTCTGAATCTCCCATTTCTTAACCAAAATCTGATGATACCCTGATCTTAAGTCAATCTTTGAAAAGATCACAACCCCATGCAATTGACCCAACAGATCATCAATCCGAGGCAAGGGGTACTTGTTCTTGATGGTCAGCTTGTTTAGCTGCTTATAATCAACACAAAGCCGAGAGTTGTCATCCTTCTTCTTAACGAGCAGCACAGGAGCTCCCCAAGGTGATGCACTTGGCCGAATGAACTGCTTGTCCATTAAATCTTCAATTTGGTTCTTGAGCTCAGCCAATTCAGTTGGAGCCATTTGGTATGGCACTATAAAGACGGGCCCTGCAGTTGACACCAAGTCAATTGTGAATTCTACCTCGCGAGGGGGAGGTAGTCTAGGTACCTCTTCTAGAAAGACTTCCGGAAATTCATCCACAACCGCTCGCTCTCTACTCAGCTTTCTACTGGACGATCGGTCATGACTTAAATCGTCAAACACCTCATCCGTGTGCGTCATTATCAGAAAACAGTTGGCGCCCTCCATGGTATCTTCCCTAAGTTGACCGAGCGTTACTGAACACTCTTCTTCTTCTTCACCAGAAAATATTAACTTCTTCTCGCCACAATCTATAAGGATGCGATTGGCAGCCAACCAATCCATTCCTAAAATCACCTCTAACTCTTTTAGATGCAAACAGGTAAGGTTCATCTTATATCTACGCCCTTCCACCTCAATAGGACATCTAATGCACATAGTAGATGTCCTAACCTCACCAGTCGCTGGGGTTGACACCACCAAGTCAAACTGCATCTCGCTCTCAGTTAACCTCAGTTTTTCAACGCACGCCTTCGAGATGAAGGAGTGTGTTGCCCCCGAATCATACAACACACAACAAGGTAGTCCATACAATAAGCAAGTGCTGGTGATAAGTGTACCTGAGCTTGCCGCTTCCGCGCCTGTTATAGCATAAACCCAACCGACTGCCTGTGCTCGGCCACCACCCCTTGGTTGATTTTTTCCAGCATTTGGTGGCCTCATCACCGCTCGTCCTCCCATGTTACACTCGCTCTCCAGATGTTCGTTCCTTCTACAACGAGTGCAAAACTTTCCTCCCACCAACTGAGGACATGGTGATCGGTAGTGTGGTCCTCCACACTGAAAACAAGTCACGGTCCCTTGCTGTCCAGACCGATTGGCAACAACCAAGGATTGTGACTGAGACCCACCAAAAGTAGATGGTGGTATTGGAGGAGTGTAAGGATTTCTTCTCAAAATCAAATGGTTTCTAGAGGAGACCGGTCCTCTAGTCGTTTGTTGTTGTTGCTTCTTCTGTTGTTCTACCTCTTGAACATTCTTCTCCAATACCTTGGCCCTCTCAACCATAGCAGGAAATGACTTAATGCACAAACTGGAAATTAGCAGTTTGAGATCACTGTTCAATCCATTCTCAAACTTTCTGCACTGTCATTCCTCGCTCGTGGCCATAGTATTAAACCGAACCAAGTGTTTGAACTTGCTGGTATATTCCGAGACGGACATCCCGCCTTATACCAGCTGAAGAAACTCCACTTCTTTAGCGAAACGAACGCTATCCGAGAAATACTCTTCATAAAACTTAGTTCTGAAAACTTCCCAAGAGATGTGAGTCTGGTCGTCCGTTAATATCATCGTCATGCTAGTCCACCAATGACTAGCCTCTCCGGTCAACAGATACTCCGTGAATGCCAATTGATTGTCGTCCGGACATCTCTTGGCATTGTAGATTTTTTCCATATCTCGCAGCCACTGGTCGACCTCGTCAAGAAGGCACTTCCCATTGAATTTGGCATGGTGATGTTGGAGAAAACTCTCCAAACTCCACTCGTTCTGATGATTCCCAGATGAGGTGGACCGGCTGTATTTCTAGTAGCTGCTAATATCTCAATTAACTGCCTGTGGGTTACTTCAGTGTTCGTTCTAGCAGCTTCTAAGCTCTGTAAAGCCATCGTGTTCTGTTGTACCATAGCAGCGTTTTGTTGTTGAAGAGCCTCTATCATTGACTCCAACAATCTAGAGTTGTCGATGCATCACGCTCGATAGGTTGAGGAGGAGGTCTCGGGGCCATTAGTTATCTGAGAAGCAGAGAAAATAATAATTAGTTTAATTCAAAGAGTTTGAAATACTTATTAACGAACGCTGAGCACACAACAAAAGCATAATATACTCATAACCTATAGTGTTCTTTAAGGAACAAAACTGCTCTGATACCACTAATGTAACATCCCAAAAATACAGTCTAAAACTATATAATAGAATAATCACATTAAATAATATTACAGATCAGTCTTACATTAAAGTAGAACGTACGGTGGTGGCCGAACGACCTTACAGAAAAACTAGAAAATTAAAATCGAACAACATAAGCAAATCCCGACCGAACGATTTACAAAATACTATACCAAAAGGTCCTACCAAAAGAAAAGGGGAAAAGATGATCGAACGATCATCTTAAAACTAAGCAATTCTGATCGAACGGTTTACAAAAGCCCATACCGAACGGTCATACAAAAGCAAAGGGAAAAGGTGATCGAGCAATCACCTTACTATCAGACTATACTATTGACCGAACGATTCTAATGTTCGGTCTTAACTTCTACCTCGATTAAGTTTTCTTCTTCCAGCGTCTCTTCAAGCAGCTCGTCTCCTTCTGCTCACATCCACATGGATGATCATTGCAACAGAAGGACAATCGAACATACAAAACAGACAAGACAGGAAACATAGGGTAAGCTTATGTATTTTAATTCATGTATCAACATATATTTCACACAATTCAACCACACAAGATTATTCATTAACTCATTCATGCAAAGCCTAATACTAGACTGACTGTCCGGACTGTATGAATTCTGTGTAGCTACGACGTTCGTGCACTCGGTTGATGTAGTAACTGGGATTCCCTCAATAGTTTTCACCCGAGGTTAGTCTTATCTGTCCAAATTAACCATAAGGACTAGGACCTCCTGCCGTTTCCACACATAATTTACCCTTCTCTACGTGAGGACGAGTAATCACGGAACATCAGGATGAACCGCCAGCTTAGCATGCCCACATTCATACTTTACAAATTCCAATATACATTCATGAGCTATTCCTCTCCGGAACGCTCGTCCATAATCCAAAACATTTCATCCATATCATATTCTATTCATCTTTTATTATTAATCATCTCAATTAAACCCTTCGTACAAAGATTACTAAGGATACCAAATACCGAACGTTCAACCCTAACTCAGAACGAGACCGAACACTTGGAGCGAGACCGAAAGGTCTTCAGTTCCGTAACAGATTAAGACCGAGAGGGTTACTATCGGGTTGAGAAAGAAATCGAGTACAAATAGATATCACAAGAACAAATGGAACGAATGTTATTTACAAAGTGAGCCAATTCAATGAACTGACCCTTGAGAGCTCAAACCAAACACCGAAAAGACCATGCAAAGTACTAAGACTCTAGGCCGAAACCAATGGATACAGACACTTCAAGACATTCAAAGAATAATACTTAGAAGAATTCACATGAAGAAACTAAACGCTTATAAATACTTAGCTTATTTGAGTTTAACATCAAGAAAACCGAATGCCAGTCAATGACCGAGCACGGTAGAGAGAGAACTCTATTGAATTTGGACGAACGCTATTTTCATTAAGATAGATCATAGAAAAGAGAATGAGCGCTTGGGGTAAGACCTAACACTAAATAGTACGAGCGCTTGGTGAAAGACCTAGCTCTAAATCGTACGAGCGTTTGGTGAAAGACCTGGCACAAAATAGTACGAGCACTTGGTGAATATAAGATATCATTTGACTAATATTCAAGAACGAACGGACATACTACTACACAGATATACTTAAATTTATATTAAAATACCAAGGAAAGGATATCCTTGGTGGAACGCCTGTACACAAATTGTACTAGACGAAGACGCTCTTCCTCAACATAAATTCCTTCCAAATGAAAGAATCCAGTTCTAAACGAGTCCCCGAGAAAAACCGAACGGTCAAAGATCATTCAATAACGAACGTACATTATCATAGGGAATTTCATACTTAGAATTATTTATCCCAACTCATTTCTCAACATTTATCTTCATAATTTCATACATTCATATCATAGTAAATTTTCATACTTCATACAATCAAAACATAGCAATAATCATATTTCATATTAATTCAGTCAATTCAACGAACGTATATACAATCCAAACAAACATACAAATCAAATTATATAAGCTTCCCTTACTCTGAGCGTGACCGAACATTCACAGAGACAGAGTACAATTCCACCACTAAAAGTTCTTCTACCCTCAACGCTCGACAATCCAACTACACCAAGTGAAAACCCAACACTATCAGAACCACTCATTATGAGAAGGGTGATTAACACATGAAACCATAACTTGATTTACATGTAAAAGAAAACACACCACTAAGTGAAGAGAAGAACTTACTAGCTCAGTTTCAATCGAACGGTTTAACTGGAAGCTCTTGACGCCGGAAGTGCTTTTGCGGTGCCTGGATGGTGATCGGAGAAGGGAAAGAGTGAGATTTGGTAGAGAGAAGGAATATCTTTTAGAGAGAAGGAGGATAAAATGAGATTTTCAGAATATGGGGAAGAAGGGTGCATGCAGAGAGAGTAGCGTGAATTTCTGAAAATCAAAGTTTTCCTTTCAACGTCAAAATGAACGTCCGCTCATCTGCCAACACCTGTCTTCGTCCGTCTGAGTGTCGAACCCCTCGCTTGACACATAAAATCTACTAAAACGGCACGTATGTGGATTTGGGTGGTTCTGAAAAAAAAAACTACCTATAAAATAAATAAAAAATATATACAATGAAATTATAAAAATTATTTACATTTAATTTTATAATCACAATAACGATAATAACAATAATAATTTTTATTATTATTATAAAAAAATGAATGCACATGAGTTTTCATTAGTTTTAATATAACAAAAATCAAAATACTATGCAAAACGTATGTATTGTTTTAATATTTTTCTAGTTAAGTATAATATGATTATTAAATTTATTATTTTAATGTAATTAATATAGTAATTAATTAAATATAATGTAAGTATTAAATTATATATTAAATACAATATAAGTAATAAACGATATATTAACTATTATGTAATTGTTAATTGTATTCATAAAATTCATTAAATACAACGTCTTTATTAAATATTTTCAATAAAAACATTCATATAAAAAGAGTAATAATATCAAAGTTAAAATGGCAATTTATTAAAATAGCGATTTAACTGATAAATTATAATTTTACATCGTAGTTCTAACTCAAAATTTACTACTAAAAATACACATGACTTTCGCTTTTATTTTGTAATAATGAAAATAAAATTAATTTTCTAATTATTACTATTAAAATAAGAAATATTATTAAATTTATAAAAGTATATAATTAAAAAATAATAATATAAGCATTAAATTATATATTAAATATAATGCAATTAATAAACGATATATTAATTATTATGTAAGTGTTAATTGATGTCTTCATAAAATTCATTAAATACAACGTGTTATTAAAAGGAAAAAAAAAATCTCATACTTACAAATAAAATGCAAAATGGAATAAACGCTTTGTTAAAGGTTGATACAACATTGATGTCTGAAAAAAAGGAAAATTTATTTAGACATTGTTAGTGTGTATTTTATTCAATTTCAACTAAATGCCTTAACATTGTTAGAGAATTAGATTATTTATTAATAAAAAATAAAAAAGTAAAAAAATCTAACAAAAAAGTATAAAAAGATACAATAAATAATAGAAAGAAGATAAAAAATATAGTTTAATTTTTTATTAATTACATAAGATTTATTCGATCAAACAGACGCCGCATCCAATAAAAATGTAGACAGCAGTGTGGTTAGTCCACTAATAAATAAACAAAAAGAAGAAGTAAAAAGTTAGAAAAAGAAGAGACAGGAAGACGCGCAGTGGCAGTTAATTTAAAAGATTAATTAAAGAAAGATAAAAAGAAAGGAACAAGGAAGAAAGAACGCGCAGTGGCAGTTGGAGATGTGTCCTATATATCCGAGGAATGTGCTTCAATCGTGAACGCAAATCAGATCCTCTCTCTATCTGTCTCTCTCATTTCAATTCAATTCAAGGTCTTCTCCTTTTCTTTTCTTCTTTTTCTTCTTCCATTCGCCAATACTAAGGTCTCTCTCTCTCTCTTCCTCTCTCTCTCTCTCTCTCTCTCTCTCTCTCTCTCTCTCTCTCTCTCTCTCTCTCTATATATATATATATATATATATATATATATATATATATGTATATATCTAACTCTATGTCTCTGTACCTTCTATTCTATTTCCCAATTCCACCTTCACCTCTCTCTATGCAGTTTCTTCATTCTTCCCCTTTATTTTTCGATCAAGATTTATTTTATTTTATTTTGAGGCCTTCTTTCGTCAATTCATCGTCTCGAAACTTGAAGATAAAACCTTTCTGCACCTTACGCATTAACGCCTGTCTGAATTCTGCAAATTCATGCATTGTTTTGCTCATGATTTTCCACTTCTTGACAACTCCTTTGTCGGTTAGCTTTAGAATTTAATTCTTTTTTTTAAGGTTTCACGTTTTTAGGGTTAGGTTACTGCTTGCTTGTTATTCCTGTTCCGGTCACTATTGGGAGACCGGGAGTATCGTTTTCATACTTGGAATTGAGATTGAAATTCAAATTTTAGTTCAGGGTTATGTGACATTGGGTGTTTGTTTGTATATTTTCGTACGGGGTGAAATTGACGAGTTTTCTGATTTTTACCTCCCACCATTTGTTTAGCAGGAATCGGTAACATAGGGAACAATGGCTCGACAACAGGGGGACGAAATGGATTATGCCGCTGACTATAATGAAATGGCGGATGCAGAAGATGATATATATTTTCGGGGCAGAGTGTTTGGTGATTCAGAGTCCGAATCCGATGAGGATGATGAATACGAATCAATGGTTGGTCTCCCCTCATAAGTAAAATGTTCATGCCTTTTGGTTTTGTCTTATGTGCTTCATCTACGATTACATGAGTAAAATTTTATGAAATGGCTTTGACATAATCTTTCCTTTCTGATTGCCCTTGTTGGGTTGCGGGTTCTTGCTTCTCCGTTGCAGGAAAATCGAATGACAGACACCACTGCTGCAGAAGCTAGGAAAGGAAAGGATATTCAAGGTATACCTTGGGATAGACTGAGCATTAGTCGTGAGAAGTATAGACAAACTAGACTAGAACAGTACAAGAATTATGAAAATATACCTCAATCAGGCGAACTGTCAGAAAAGGTATACTGTGTTTTACTCGAGTTCTGTGGCATTTGAGTAATGCTTTTTAGGGATTTTTATCTTTTTCACATCTATTCATCTCTTGCCTACAGGAATGCTCACCAACAGATAAGGGAGGAAAGTATTATGATTTCTGGCAAAACACTAGATCTGTGAAATCAACAATACTTCATTTCCAAGTACGTTTATATACTAATGAATTCTATTGAATGACTTCAGATGATGCGATAAATATTAGACTATTACCTCCTTGAAATTCAGCGTGCCATGTTCAATGAATTAACTTATGTTAATGGGATACCTCCAATCTGTCATTTGCAGTTGAGGAATTTGGTGTGGTCAACATCTAAACATGATGTGTATCTTGTTTCGAGTTACTCAATTATACACTGGTCTTCTTTAAGTTCCAAGAAATCAGAAATACTGAATGTAGCAGGGCATGTAGCTCCATGCGAGGTAATCATTTATGCAATCCTTTGTTATCAAAAGAATCACTTAGAATCTAGAAATGAAATTAAGCCGTTTGTGCCTGTTGGTGATAGAAACATCCTGGAAGCCTTTTGGAAGGATTTACTCAGACACAGATTAGTACACTGGCTGTGCGGGATAATTTGTTGATTGCTGGGGGTTTTCAAGGAGAACTTATTTGCAAGGTACTTCTACTATTATGGGGGTTGTAGTTGTCATTCTTGTTCCTTATATGTTTAGTATTTGTCATTGTTTACTTTGGACGCACTATTGCTACACACCATGCAGGATACTTGGTCACTATTATTTATTGTACTGAATATTTTATTTCTTGCTTTGGATGTTCTATCAAGATTACGAATTTTATACTCTATATATTTGTTAGATTTTTACATTGTTTTTAAATGGTATAGAAATCATTTTGCCTTAAAATGGATATGATTAATTGAACAATTACCGACTAGCCAAACTGAATAATATGATTAAATGATACATCTTGTCTTGCAGTACATAGATCGACCGGGGGTTAGTTTTTGTTCAAGAACTACTTATGATGACAATGCAATAACAAATGCTGTTGAGATATATGAGCATCCAAGGTCTTGATTCTCTGCTCTACTATTTTCTTTTATTTTCTTTATTTATTTTGGATCTTTAATGATTCATATGGTGCTAGCAATTATTAATCACAAACAATACTAACAGTTAATTGATATCTCGATGGAGCTGTTCATTTCACTATTTTTCTTTTTTTTTTCTCTGTTTATTTTGGATCTTTATTGATTCATATGGTGCTAGCAATTATTGGTCACAAAGGATGCTAACAATTAATTGATATCTCAGTGGAGCTGTTCATTTCATGGCTTCGAATAATGACTGTGGAGTTCGAGACTTTGACATGGAAAAATTTCAGCATTCCAAGCATTTTTCCTTCTCTTGGCCTGTAAATGTAAGTCTTTATTTGGTCAAGTTTATAATTTTGTATAAAATTTCCATGTGGGATTTGTTTTTTTCTTATTGAAAGCAGTTTAGTAATTCTGTCAGTCCGCAATCCGTTAATGGTTGGGGTGTCAAAAGCCCGTCGATGGAGTGTTGCCAGCGCACACACTAAATTGTCTATAGTTAACCTACCCTGGCCAGCCTGAAAATAAAGCTAATTCACAAACCATACAAACTATATAGATATATATGTGTATGTATGTATATCTCCAAACCAACAATCAAGTGTCACAGCCATCATAGCTTAGGCCCCTTGGCATAAACATGTTTTAATAGTTCATCTAGGAATCATGTAATTCATACATAGTAGTTATCGTAACTTTTCAACATCACAGTTGTATAGTTAGTATATCCAATGGTAGAACCTACAACTCAAAATAAAGAGATTTTTGCTTCTATATTTATCCCTATAGCTGCATTATAGTTGATAGACACCAAAGAAAGTCACCAAATCCCCCAATTTATAGGGCTTAGGATTTTAAGGAAATAACAAGATTCCTAATATTTAAGGAAACCGATTACTAATCTAAGTTCTAAATGATCACATCGATTTATGGGTTTACTTTGGAAGAGCTTCTAATAGAGATTTTTGAGGGATGGGTGTTTCTCTTTAAACTCAAATCACCTTCCCCATACTTATATTGTCTCATGGGTGTAGGGAGTTTTGAAACAATGGAAAGAGAAGAGTGGGGAGAATGGAAGGAAGAAAAATATGAAAATGGGGTGGGGAAAGGAGGTTATGTGAAGGGGGGTGGGTGGGTTCAGGGGGAGACACCAAATGAAACTTTAACTTGTCAAACCTTTGAGCTCTACTACTATTAAGGAAACTTCAAACAGAATAGTAGAATTTTTAAGCTTAAAAAGGAGATAGAATTGAAAGCATGTCTACACATATATTTTTTCACCCTGCATTCTCATTACTGTGCACACTGCCAATGTCGGAAAATATGATATCCGTCTTCTAATCGATAGAATAAATTATCTGAATTTGTTTCCCTTTCTGGCCGTAGCATACTTCATTGAGCCCAGATGCGAAACTGCTTGTGATTGTTGGAGACAATCCAGAAGGATTACTAGTGGATTCTCAAACTGGAAAGGTGGTGTATTCTGTTGATTTATTTCATAAATTCCTTATGTGCGGTGTATGGGTAAATTAGAAATTATTTAAATTTTGGTTCTTTGTAGACTGTCAAGTCTTTATCTGGACACTTGGACTACTCATTTGCATCTGCATGGCATCCTGATGGGCACATTTTTGCTACCGGTAACCAAGACAAAACATGCCGTGTTTGGGACGTTAGGAACTTGTCAAAGTCTGTTGCTGTGCTTAAGGGCAACCTTGGAGCTATACGTTCTATAAGGTTCACATCTGATGGGCGATTCATGGCAATGGCCGAACCAGCTGACTTTGTGCATGTCTATGATGTAAAGAGTGGGTTCGAGAAGGAGCAGGAGATCGATTTTTTTGGGGAGATCTCTGGTGTATCTTTTAGCCCTGACACAGAATCACTTTTCGTTGGTGTTTGGGATCGCACCTATGGAAGCCTTCTTCAGTACAATCGGCGGAGAAACTATAAATATCTGGACTGTGTGTAAATTTTGACTGCATACCCCTTGTCTATAAGCTCCTACAGTTTATGTTCTTCTGTCTAGGAATTGTGGCACCACTTGACTGAAAAAAATGATCGGTGGCATGCTTCATCATACAATGTAGGATGATAAGGTCGTTACATAAACTCCGTTGTTTTAAATAACCTTGATTTCCTATCTCTTACCCTTTTATTTCTATTTTTAATTTTAATATCTTTTGCCATAGATGAATGTGTGCTAAATTTGTACCATAGTGCCTTTTGTGGTACTCATTTTCCACAGATCCCTCTAGGTGGGCTTATTCATGCTTCATAAAAGGTAATAGATACAATTCACCTCTTATTGCGGGCTGTTCCATCCGACGGCTCTCTTTTTTCTTCGTGCACCCCCATAATAGCCGTAAACCCTAGCTTACCCTCATTAAAATTATAATGGTTCCGAGTTATGAAAACTTCCTTCCGGATTAAAAAATTATCATAGAAAACAGAGTTATGGATTCATTAGTCCAGAACGTATTTTTATAATAATTATAGTAAACTATTTGAGGTATATGGATGTCAAAATATCTGTCAAACTTATTATAATAGATAAAATAGTGAGATTTGAGTTGAAAAACTATTTTATGAAATTTTGCATAGTTGTTGGTTTGCTTGGGTGTTGAATTATTGCTCGAACTATGCTTAAGTGAATACTTAATTGGTATTCACTCAGGGTCATTATCACTCAGGGTCTCCAAATGAATACTTAATTGGTAATGCTTCTTACTTAAATTGTTATGGTTCTTACTTAAGAACAATAATAATAATAATAACAATAATAACTAAAATTTAATTTGATTATAATTAATATTAATTATATTTTATTTTAAACTACTTTTATGACTAAGTAAAATATTATCTTTTTATTTTTATCAATTTAAACATTTGTTTTTAATTTATCAAATCTATCATAGCACTCATTAACTTTCATAAACTTCAATCTCAAATCTTTTCATTTTTCATAATTTTTTCTTTGATCCAAACAATCCTACATTCACTTTTTTTCTCTTCTCAAATCCATCTTCAAATCAAACACAACATGAACATGCATTCCAAGAATAAAATATGATTTTCAAATAAAGTCTTTATTTTTTTTACATAACCTAAAAGTCATTGTATATTCCACAAGTTAAAATAACTTTTGAAAATTCAAAAGTCATTTTTAACTTCAAAATTATACGGTTTGAAAATATATTTTTTAAGATAAAAAATAGACAGAGTTCATTCATCCTTTCCACCTCAGTCCAAAATCTTCGGGCCACGTGTCACAGTTTTTAAAATAAAGTTCATGTACAGCAATACTTCATACAGTATTATATATTCATTAGACTTCTTACAAGACCAGCAGTCAGCCAGCATAAATAAATAAAATATGTACAAGGTAATATGAACTTTTTGAATACAATTATGCTAGGACTATTGAAGACTATTTCAAACTCGAAGGACTTTATAGCATAATTGAAACATTTTAGTATTTCTCTCTACCATCATCACTTGTACAACATGCATATTCTCTTCATCATTTTGATAACCGCAAAGAACAAATAACGCGAATATTTTATATGAAGATCATGTGCTTGCTTAGTCTTGGACAACCGATATTAGAGTGAGTAAACACGTATGTTAGATCAAGTTTACAAATCCCCAGCTTCGTGAAAGAACCATAGTCATCAACTTGAAAGCATAGAATACTAAAGCAGCATATAAGATGTCTGTCTTCCAACCTAATCTGCCTACTTGACGTAAGTTTCTGAATTCAGTGAGTTGGAAACTTGGAATGATCCTTGTATTATGACAATTCCTCCAAGTTATCAATAAATTGCATGTGACTCAAGGTGTGTACAAAAAGGAACCTTCATAGTATCATTGAGTACGTTGTTCCAAAAATATCATGACGAGTAGCGGTCATCATCATCATCCAATCCCATGTTCTCCAAAGTCAGGGGCATAGCTGTTAAGACCAAGACCAGGGCCAAGTTGCGAAAATACGGAGTCAACAAAATTTATTCAATAAGCGTAAAATTAATTCATAAAATTCAAACAAGTATAGTGCACACCAACATCAAATAGAAGATATCATGTCAACCGCAACTGAGGTATTTCATGAAAAACTCGCAATCGTATAAAGGAGGAATTTTTATGACACTAAGAAGTATACGTACATAATATGGATCAAATACTGCAATGTAAGTTTGACAGCAACAACAAAACAAGATTTTAAGGGTTAAAAAATAGTTAGTTTCCAAATGCCCAAAATATGGTCATAAACTACTGAAAAAACAAGATAACAACCGAAGATGCTGCTGCTGCTTACTCTTTAACGGGATAGAATTGTGCTTGTAAGCAGATAAAAGTAAGCAAGAGAAATACTCCGAGAAATCTCCGATTTAAAATAAGGTAATTCATTTTAGAATGTAAGACTACGACTTAGTTTGTTGAGCTAGTAAGACGCATAAAACAGCATATTAAAAAGCAAACAAGTCAGATATAGTAACACCAAATACTAATTCTTAATCTTCTGCCAGAATTTTACATATATTAATTAGAAATCAATGCCAAGTCAAACATACCTTCATCTTCATTTTGACTAGTGAAGAACGGGGTGAGGTAGTTTTTATCTAATGCGGTAAAAGATGCAGCACTACAACAGAAAAGCAAAGACAAATCAAAACTAGAAATTTCAGTAATGTAAACATACATTTACAATCTCTTCAATTTCAGAGCACGGATTGTACCTTCTTTGAAATTCTTGTAGCCTCATCTTGATTTTGTTCCCTGATGATGATTCTTCATCTTCGGGAGAAAGATAACCATTGGTTCCCTCAAAATTCTTGTGGATGAAACCAAAGATGTTAGTTGAAAGAGAATAAAAATAAACAAGTAGATTCATTATAATTATCATATCCTTTGGCAGAATAAAATGCATAGTCCCAGTTGAAATATTTAATTTAGAAGTTAACATAAAATTCCACAACAAAGTTCATAAATAATGTAATTTCTTTGAATTTAAATTGCATTTAGAGTTTTACATATATCCCGTATCTAACACTTAAGCTTGGTTCCAGATCATAGTGGTACACAGCTCCTGACTATTTAATTTTTTTGAAATCGACATTGACTAAAGATATAACCAAATTATAAGACATAAATAGACGCAAACCTCACTTACAAATTGGTTTATATGGTTTTATAGGATTGAGTTTATATCAATATTTGTTTTCCCTAATGGAATGACTCAACTTCAATTTTATATGCCATTTAAGAGCATAATCAAAACACAAGTCAATTTTCATGCTTCCGTTACTTTCAGCAACAAATATAGAGTCTAGTTACATACACAAGATTTAAATAAAATCTTTTGATAAAAAAGAAACGATTATTTTCCCTAGAAAATCCATCTCAAACTTGTGTTAAGTATTTTTCAATTCAGGCAGTCCCCCAACCACATCTCACTCGAGCAGAAGTCAGCTATGCGCTTCTTGCTATATTCCACAGGGAGAAAGCAATTATGTGGAAACAACAATGAATAGATGGTTCTACTATTTGATAAGCAAAGAACCTCATCTAGAAAAAACTTACCGTTCTGGTAATTGAAGCCATAGGACTCTCGATGATAGGACTGTCACTACCTACAACTTGTAAAGCTTCCAGCATGGTGCCTGTTGAACCACCAATCAGTAATACCTGAAATAAAGTAACCAAACCTTATTGTGAATAACTAGCCAGGTATAGGGACTGTGAAAAGGTGGTGAAAAGAATAGGTAGCTGCTAGTAATTTAAAGAAGAAAAATAAATGTGGACCAAACTTCCGTGTAGGTTTCCAGAAGTTCCAATCAAGTTGTCCAATTCACCATCGAACTAGCACAGTATTCTCCATTGAAAATGTCCAAATTTCTGTCTCTCCCACTCTGAGATTCTTGAATGGTCTATTTATCTTTACATATCAGTAAGCTGACAGTGTTTCTGTTAGGTTCCAGACTTGGGAACCTAATATCAATTCTCACTTTCACTCCAAGAAACATAGAAAGATTGGAAGAAATCAATTGTATTCACAGTAAAAGGTTTGTACAAACAGCACCCAGAGGCATAACCCTCTTCAACAGGTAAGTACCCGTTAACAATCTAAACAATCAATAACCCTTAACTCTTCTAACCAGCCAGTATTTATACTATCTTACACGCTCCCCCCCTTAACTGTCCTAGACAGTTAGTTTGTTATAGTCAGTTGCACTTATTCCTTCTCTCATACACTAACCACCTTTTCTTATTCCTATCAATACCCCCTCCTTCATTATCAACCTTGTCCCCAAGGTTGAAATCAGGGTACTGCTCCTTGATTGTTATTTCATCTTCCCAAGTGGCCCCTTCTGGCCCTCCTTGTTGCCATTCGACCAGCACCTGCTGCACACTTCTGCCTTCTTCGGTCCTCTGCCTCCTTCCCAAAATTTTCATGGGCCAAAACGAAGGCCCCTCTGCCTGCAGGTCCGGTGGTAACTCCCTCTCCGCCTGATGTTCTCCTAATGCCTTTTTCACCTGTGAAACATGGAACACAGGATGTATTCGAGCTGTCTCTGGCAGCTGCAGCTTACAGGCTGCCTCCC